CACTCCAGGGGAAGGATACTGCAAAATCCCCATTTCCTCCCCACTCCAGGGGAAGGATACTGCAAAATCTCCATTTTCTCCCGATCAGCTGGGACTCAGGAGGGAGAGGATAGATGGGGACGGGGCCAGTCAGTTTAAATGCCTTTCTGAACTGGAATAGTAGAGTTTGTATCTCCGCTCAGCATGGGAGTGAAATCATCATCTTTTTACACCACGTGATAGGACAGATTATGGAAAGTCAGAAGTATCTTAACACTGAACTGTAAGTTTTGCTATTAAGAATGGCTGATAATAAGCTTGAGCTGAATGAGATTCCTAAGCGTGGAGTTAACTGCATGTCACAAGTGCCATAGGTTAGCCATCTGGGGCTAGGTCTATTAAAAAGAGAAAAGAAGGGGCAGGAACATTTCAAGATCTTCTTGCTGCCTTAAACCAGGTCAGTATGTCCTGTGTCCAGGAATACATCCATAGCTACGACAGATGCAGCATGGGGAAAGCAGAAGAGATTTCAAAGAGCCTGGAGTTAATTCGAATATCTGTGCAGTGCATTAAGCTGAGCGAGAATCACATAAGCCTCATAAAACTTCCTTTGCTTGAACTCACCTTGGTAATTCAAGCCACATCACCCAGGAAGGAGACCACTCGCTCTGACTGGAGGTTCTCAAATTGGCATCAGGCAATAAGTCCCCGTTTTCTCCTTCCGTGGTCTCACACGCTTTCAGTTCTAGTGCTTTGAACACCACCGACGAGGAGACATTTTTCAAATGGGCTACCGCCTCTCCGCGGCTGACACCTGTCAGATCAATTCCATTCACGTTGAGCAGGATATCTCCTGTTGGACATGAAAAACAAAATAGTGGAAACATTTTAAATTCAACGCTATGCTCACCACTTACCTTCGCTACCAGTTCACAAATCTGAGCTCGCCTGAGCCACCTCCGCACATGTGCAGGACCTTCCGCGCATGTGCAGAGCATCAAAAATAGGACGTGATGACGTCTAGGTGAGCAGGAGTCTGCTACTGCCTGCAACGGTAAGTAGAACAGCGGGGGGGGGGATCCGCTGTGCCGAGCGATTTACATTAGCTAGAAAGCAGGAAATCCGAATATTCTAGCTAATATAAATAGTGCATCACAGCTGATCGTCGGAAATACCAGTTCGCCAGAATTGGTAGCATTTTTTTTTATTACTGGTTCAGGTGGACTGGTAGCATTATTTACTACTGGTTCGAGCAAACCATTACGAACCGGTAGCATTTCACTACTCCAAAAGGGACCAACTCGGACTGTTTATGACTGGATATGATCACTGGTCTCACATACATTTTTGATTGAGATTTATATTAATACTATATTTTTATTTGGGTTTTGTATGTACTCTGCCCTAAATTCCATTTTTAGAACAACAGTGTCACCAAGAAACTTAATGTTTTTTTTAGTTACAACTAACAGAGCTATTGCAAATGTACATAGAGTCTACATTTAATTTCCAGATCAGAAAGTTCCAGAAACTTAGTTTTGGATATCTTTTTAACTCCAGGCCTTAATCAACCATTTATAAAAATGGAAATCAATTGTTTTGGGCAAAAGAGATGTATGTGCTATCTGGAATTAATGACAATACATTTGTGGCCCTATGAATATTGCAACAGAATATGCCTAAGTGTGCACAGGGAGATGTACAGTATGTGTAAATAATGGAAAATTAAGTATTTGTGAATGTTGTTGGTTTGTCTGTTTCGGTACCTATAAAAACATTACTATAATTTATTGTTAAGCTCATCAATACTAATTCTAGATTGCTATGTTCTTGGAAACTGCTAACCTACAAATGCCGACTAACCTGCAAAAAATTCAAATATATGAAGCTAATCTGTCTAATATGCTCACTAAACTCCTTACGCTCTCATTGACAATAATTAATAACTCTATGGTTGGCATCCTCTATCCATTAAACAAATAATTGGCATGTATTAATTAATTAATTAATTAATTAATTAGTTAACTTATTTACTTTATCATATCCTTATATAGGGTTAGGGTCCTTATATATTTAAGGGGTCTAATGTTGACTAGATAATACTGTTCTGAGTAAGAATGCTAGATTGTAAGTATGAGTTAATTGGTATATAATCATGCATCCATCTTGCATTAACAGGGGTGGGCCGCTACAGGTTTGCCTGGGTTCGGGACAACCTGTAGGTAACATTATGACCGATTCGGAGAACCTCCAAATCCCACCGCTAGCAGGCTCCTCCCCTCCCAGGAGTCTCCATGTGGCCCGTTTTGGATCCGAGTTAAGTGCAGGGCCCATGCGGAGGCTTGGGGAGGGGGTGAAACGGGCCTCCTGGAAGTTCTGGAAGGCCAGAAATGGGCCTCTGGAGAGCCTCTGGAGCCCGAGGGAGGAAGTTTTCACCCTCCCAGAGGCTCGAGAAAAGCCTCCGGAGCCTGGGGAAGG